GTGAATCCATTTGCTGATTGCCGTTAGTATCTTTTCCGCAGAAACTTTGGCTTTATAGCGTGCTGTAAATTGTCCATCACGTTAAAGGAGACGCTTTTTTGGATCTAACTAACCTGTTTTTTGTTCTTGTGTACTCACATTGAAAGATCCTTGTTCTCTAAAACAAAAACTCTTAGTGTGTACGTTAAACTGTGACTGTACCGTTAGTTAATTATCAACAGTTCATCTGCTGCTCAACGTATATTGTAGATGTTTTTTAAAGATCTTGGATGTGCAATGACTTCAAAGATTCTTTCAAGACGTTATTGAGTAAAACCGTAGTCTGGTTGCGAGAAAAACCAACCTCACTGCTTCATTTGCTTGGTAAATCCGGTCTCAAAAATGTGCCTTATCAAACCCATGGATAAGAGTAATTTTTCGTTGCTTAAACGTTATTTCGACTGATGTGAGAACCACCACGTTGTACTCAAAAACGTAACTCATTATCAACTGTATCCCCAAGGCTGAAAGAGTTACACAGCGGACAGCTTTGTCATATATGTCTAGTGGATGAAAGAGGTCTTTTGACCTGCAATATAGTAGACTTTTCATTGGGTACTACCAAACTGAAATTTAAGCCTGATGTACCACGAGTTTTATTTAAACGCTAATATGCATTGTCCTTGAATATGGTTCTGTCAAACGGCTGTAGTTTTACGAGGAAAAAAACAAATAGAAGCCTGCCACAATCTTATATTAAATGTCAGATTCAGTCAGCACTCCTGCATGTAGGCATAACACTATCAGGTCAGTTTTTTGGAAACCAAAGAACTTATTTTCTTAATTGCTCCATACAGATCCAGCAGATGTTTTTACTATTGCAAGATGTCCGTTACTCATTGTTGTTCGTTACTTTTGATTGCTGAAGGCTGCATTGGTTTTGACCGAAATATGTTCACAGTTCCATAAGTTTAGGTTAAAATAAACCCACATGTCAAGTTCAGATTCGTATAAAATCTAACCTACTCCATTAAAGTAATTATTGGCCCAGGAATTCAGCCGGTTTTACGCAGTGCACTACAATTTTGTTGTAAACGTGACTGGGCAAAACGCAAGCGAATAATAGAAGTGGATACAAAACAAATTTAACTTCTGCAGAAGGTGAAACCCTGTCTTGAATGGACTAGTGGGCAGTCACCTGTCATATTGTGACCATTTGTTTGCAGCAAGGATGTCAGAATAAATAAAAAGTTGATTGGAACCGGAATCACATCTAAAATATATCATGGTAGGTCAATTGTAAGTCTGCAGTACGTCAACCAATCACTCCCCAGCGAAGGAGGAATAATGTGCCATACAGATGAACTGAAGTGCAGAACAACACCGGTTGACAATGCCTTCTGCCAACTGTTTCAAACTTACCCTCGAAAACAAAATCTGGAAAACTGTTTTGCAAATGTCGGTTGAAACAGTCTAGATTGTATTTCTGGTGAACTCAGTCAATAACTGGCATAATGAACGGTGTTATTTCCTTCCTTATATATAAACTGCATTTGTTCCAATGTTTTGTTTCTCACATTCCAACGAATATCAGTCCCGACCTAAGCAACTATTTTGAGTTTTCTTCGCGCCAAACTGCAACAAACACAAAGCCATTGCGTTTCACATAAGAAGTAAACATCTGAATCAAATACTTCTACACTGCTACTATTGTGAATGTTTCAACTTCTCACATGAACGCCCTCCATCTAATGATTCCATGTGATTCAAATGTGCAGGGAAAGAGCATGACTCTGTTTTTCTCCATTACACAGACTTAACAAGAGTGGAATGCAAATGCCCACGTTTCAACCTATCATTTAGATTGTTACGGAGGGAATATACCTCACAAACACGATGCTGGAATATTGGAGGAGAGCGGCGTTTTCAAAAAAAGAAATTTGATAAATGGTTAACCATGGGCAGCCATCTTGGACGGGCACAACTGTGTCTAGAGCTGCGAGTATTTCGTAGTGAATCATCCTTCTTTAAATGAGAAAACTTCAATCAAATGTCGAATCGAATTTGGTCAACACGTCCTAGTGATGTGATAATCGTGTTTTTTCATCAGGCAGGTGGACTCTATCACCCTCTCCCAAACCAGTCTATTTCTCCGTTTGTTCTTGATTTATAACCACCTGGCGGAGAATAAACCTCTACTTTCCAAAGCCCCGAGCCTGAAATCAAAATATTCACACGCCGGTTATCATCACAGTAAACTTGGTGCCTTCACAATTGCTTGACCAAAGGAGCAGCAAAAAGGCTGCCTTATGATTCGACTTCGACACTGTGAGACGGCCACTTGCGTCCTGCATGCATGGAGACCTCAGCAAAATCTAATCAGCAATTCTTATTGTCTTGTGCAAATCCGTATGTGGGCTAAACAAAACATTCATCAACTTAACTGACACATTACTGTGAATCCCAAAGTAAATTTAGCTACGAATGCAATTGAATAAGACAATCAGCCTACCTACGTGGGTCTGACCAGTCAAGAAGTTGATTGATTGGGTAGTCTAGTTCCATATTGTTAAGACAAGAACTAACTGGAAACGGAGAGCCCAAGATTTTTTATTGACACTTTGTTACTCTAGCTGCCTGTAACATTCCCAGGTTTGTAATTGTAATTGTTCCAGCTGCTTCGCAAGTGAAGAAACTCAACTGAATTCACACCCTACCTCACTTTTCTCGTTCATATCAAACTTGATTTCTCTCAAATTTGTTGTGGCGAAAATGTTTGACCCCTCTTTCCTAAAACAACACACATCCGGGTTACCATCTAAACGGCAACCATCGATGTCATCCATTTGGTAATCCTTCTAGGTTTCTTCATATTGAAAGACAAACTTGCTTATTTCTTACACATTCCTCAAGGGTTCTCCGTACACCATGATTTTTTACCAAAAAAATAGTAGCTTTTATTATCCATATTACTTGTTTCAGAGCCCATTTGAGCTGAAAAACAACTTAAGTAGCACAACTTGCGGTGTTTTTTTTAAAGTTTACAGAAGCTACTTTGGTTTGGAAATCGTTGCAGGCTTTTAGTACTTAACGTTTTAAAGTTCATCGGTAGGTCCATAAAGAAAACGTGTTTTCATACCCTTCAACTTCTAACATTTAAAGTAAGTTGAAGATTGGCCTGTGTAATAATTTCCAACTAATTTGGTTCACACGGGACACTCACTTAAATTCCAGCTGAATTTCCGGTTCCTGATATCCTTCAGCTGAATGTAAAGTACCAGGCGGCCTAATGTTTCAGTGGATACGGTATTCGAGATGTCGCAATACATTGTACAGGCATAACATACTTCTCATAGGGTAGCTGAAAAATCGAATGTCGTACCAACTGGCATATGAAGCTGCCCGGTGGAGCCCATTTAATGGAGAAAGACCATAAACGAGAGATTCACCTGTGATTCAGGTGAATCTTTTGCGAAAACCAAGCTGACGTGCAAATTCATTTATGTCATATTTCAAGCAGTTTGATTTCAAGTTGAATGTAAGGTTGACAAAAACAGTAGGGTTGCGTCTATATGATGAATGGGCAAACCTGTTTGTTGGTTTCCGAAGATTCCCGATGAACCATACGAGTGTCATATTACGCTTATACAGTGAACTGAAGATTTTTCTGTGATAGTTACTAACCAACACAGAAATATCCATAACCAGATGACAACCGTTTTCATCTATTACAGAAGCGCATTTAACAAACAGTATATATTCAGTGATGGAAAAATTCTCAGAAACTGGGGTCGATGTTGTCTTATTACCGGCGTACCGGTGAGTACTACTAATGAGGCGTGCGAGTAGAATGCTTTCTCGAAAAATCCGCTTCGCGTCTCTTGAAAAGTGAGACCTATTAGAAAATTTGTGGAGTTGCTTTGTAGCACTTGCTGGCATTTGAGTAACAGTCAATGAATATCTAGGACAGTTCAGGAAGACCCGTTCAAGGAGGACGGATTTTCAGTTTTGTAAACAAGATACAAATGAGAGTTTTGCTCCGCTGTTCAATAGTCTGCAACTGTTCATTTGATGTTTCTATAATAAACAACTCCGCCGCGAAGGCCTTCTTCCCTTCACCGGTATACTTAACAGCCTCATGTTTTTACGGAGTACCACTATAGTTGATACCTCTGATCATCCAGGTTGACAGACCGAGATACTGTCAAGACAAAATCTGATCTGACGTATTTAAGATCAATCTGCAAGTCACGTGTTAATCGATGATCATGACTGCCTACAGTCACTTTAATTGTGAAGAGGATATTTCATTCGTTTTTTTTGAGACTTCAATACGAATATTTAACAGTTGAAAGATCAAGAACACAGGAGCGAGATGGCCCAAGTGGTTAGAGCGCTAATTTACTGACCAAAAGGTCTGTGGTTTGAACCCGACCTAGGCCTCGTGACTTCCCCTGTCTAGGCTTGGGCAACCTGGTATTATCACAGCCCTCGTGCAACCTTCGGGCGTAACGGTGATACTACTGATGTATAGGCACGCGAGTAGGATGTGTTGTTCGTAGAATTTCGCTTTGCGTCTTTTGAACAGGGGAGATCTGTTGCGGAATTCGTGGAGCCACTTTGTAGCGTTTGCTTGGATTTACCCGACGAATCAGTGGAGTCCAGGAAAGTTCAAGAAGACGCGTTCGATGTTTGTCCAAAACTGTTGTGTACGCATTCAACTCGTGTTTCTTCTCCTCATTTATTTCCACCAGTTGTTTTTCTAGCCGGTCTACCCACATTTAGATACATGCATGCACACAAGATTATGAGGAAAGGCTCACCTCAGTTAGGCACTATAAGAGTGCCACAGCTGAACGATTGTTTTAATACTTCAAGAACATTGAATGTTTGTCCAAAACTGTTGTGTACGCATTCAACTCGTGTTTCTTCTCCTCATTTATTTCCACCAGTTGTTTTTCTAGCCGGTCTACCCACATTTAGATACATGCATGCACACAAGATTATGAGGAAAGGCTCACCTTCAGATTTGACACTGTGTGTCGAAGGAGTTACATGTTTGTACAAGGACCCGTTGTGCTGGTGCTCAGGTTGTGTAGCAGTTGAATTCAGGCGTGAATTGAATGGTCCTGTACCATCAAAGCTGATTTCTGATGTCGGTTCGGCAGAACTCATTCTGTAGCTGATGAGTGAAGGTGGAGAAATGAAAAACCAACGTGAAAAAATTCTGGATAGGTGACAGAATATTCGCCAGCCTACAGTATATAAGTTTACAAAGTATGCTGGTTAGATGGATTGTACAGCTGTTTGCATAATTAGCTTTCGTTTTCAGTGAATACATTTTTGTCATTCTTTGTATATGCGATTCCGAAAAAAAGATTTATCGATTGCTTACCCTATCGAATGGTGGCAAACTGAAAGATTGCACCAGCCGCACAACTGACACTGAATACCAGTGCTTATTAGACATGAAAAATTGTTACGTTGTGATACTAGACTTAGATGGTTTTGGTACACTTTATCTAATGAAGGTTTTTATTGTCGATCGCACTCAAGGCATTACCATGTTCAACATGTCTTGGTATGTTCAACTTCTTGTTGATCGCTGGTGGGTCTATGTNAGTTGTCTCTCCTAAAACCCAAAGAATCGTCTGAGTGATCATGTTTCTATATCTGTCTTTTAGCCAAATCCCCCTGTTCAGGTGAATACTAATCACTATGAGCAGTATTGAAGCAGGATAGTAAGGACAGGGGGTTATTCTGAAGCTAGTGCAAGCTGGTTTTTAGTTACTATTTGATAATATTCGTCAGTCCTGTCTGTGGGAGTTGCCAAGTGCATCAAAGTGCAGATCAGTGTCTTTTGTAGTGAACATCCCGGATTTGAAATTCAGAGACCAACATTAAAATTGTCCTTGACAATACCTGAAAATATTTACCTTAGCGTAATTCCCAAAATAAATGTCCAGCTTACTCTGTTAACTGATGAATAAATTTCGGCAAAGTGCGGGCTGGTCTAAGAATAACCTTTGCTAAAACGTTGATCAACGCACAATACCCCCCTAGAATGAAAAGAACAAACTTGCTTGCAGAATAGTCCGTGAACTTTCCGAGTAATCCCGAGAATAATGCATCTCAGAGCATGGCTGATGATACCTTTACTGGCGCGAGGAAAACGTAAAGCAAGATGAAACGCTGATGCTTCCCCTGAGCTAGTTTTTCTGATGAGGCAAACCAAAAGTCCTGTTTATCAAACATCTCCCGCAGAAGCGACCAGTGCAATCCTATAACTAAAGCCTTCTAATTATTCTTCTGAAAGTGTATAGCTGGTTGTGTAAACCGTAATCTGAGTTTCATTGAACGACAAAATAGTTGAACGCGACGCTAGCTACGTTCACTCAACTGTTGCGTCTGTTGCTGAGATAATACTGTGAGTCGTCGTTATAGCAACGGTCAATCAGTGGACAAACCACATTGTCAGTATGGTAAAAAATAGTCCTAACCTGCCAGGCAGCTTGATCAACTTTAATAAATCAATGATTTTCTAAGCTATGTTTACCTGAATAATTAGGCTGTTAATGCTGAACAAGCGTCAACCTGATTTGTAACAACTCTGGCAAAAAAACGATCGCTCCACCTACTGAAAAAGGACGTAACAGAAATTTTCACAAATGCACTTTTTCTTTCATTGTATGCGTCACGCAAATTATGATCTGCACAGCAAAGTAATAATGTAGACGAAGCAGTAAGTCTGCCCCGCTTTACCTTTTGCCCGTTCCTCAGAAGTGTGCTGTAGTATACTCTTTATTGATTGTCTGAAAGACAGTGCATGTCAGTGCGTCGTCGACACATATCTAAGACCATACAAAATTGTACACATAATCGCCTGGAAAATGGAGAATGCAAATCCGGTCACATAGAACCGGGAAGGAGTGAGTGAGAGTAAAATAGATGGTACTATGCTAACATACTTATGCCCAATGGACATTTGTTCTGTGTCCAGGATGAATGTATAATCCTCGCGCAAGGCATGGACCACCCAGACGGGGAAGGGACAATCCGGTTGGCAGGAGAACACGTCTGTTATTCACATATCGCTATCCACAGTAAGAATAACCTGAAAGTTGTCAAAGGCTACATTGCACACTGATTATTACCTTGTTGTTTTGAATTGTGTATTTTGTATTTTGCTAAGGTGCTAAAAAGGATCATCTGGTCCACTGTAATTTCGTCATGTAATTTAAAAGTTACAGGTTGCTTGTTCTAGATTTGAATGGCGTAGGTTCTTCTTGTCTTCTAACCAATGAATATGAAGAGGTGATCCACTCACTACTCGATATCTGTCACAAAATTAAAAAAAGACTGCGAAAGAAGAATCCGTAAGAAGAAGCACTTGGGTCATACGCAGTTGCAGCTTAAACCCTCTTGAAGCCATTCACCTTTTTTCACATTCACTTATGAATTTAATTATCCTTTACACGTTTGAAGACAACGTCTTTCAGTAGGTAAGTTTTTATCAGACTTTCTTAGGCTGTTAGACAGCAAAACTCCTTCTAGAGTTCAGCATTTCGGCTTAACCACAGAGTGGACCATACTTGAAACGCACTATGAACAAACGGGGTTTTATGTCTAGGCAACAACAGTGGTCGACCTCAGGTTGCGAACCTGTGAAGAAATAGACTAGACTAGACATTGTGAAAAATGCGTTTCTCTGCGCGAGATTTTTTTATTTTTAAAGTACAGTGAAGCTCTTGGGTCTTTTTGGAAAGGCACAACCCCGTCGTACACCTAATGCTGCGCTACTCCTCCGTGTTGGATTTCGTTTCCCTTCTTGGTGTGCTGTAATTCGGAAATTCACTGGATTAGCCGTTCGTAGTTTTATACAGTGTTTGAAAACCCAGTAATAACGGGACCGTGGGCAAAAATCCGCTGGCCTTATTATTATTTTGAAGGATTTAACATGTGGATTTCGTTTCCTTCTTGGTGTGCTGTAATTCGGAAATTCACTGGATTAGCCGTTCGTAGTTTTATACAGTGTTTGAAAACCCAGTAATAACGGGACCGTGGGCAAAAATCCGCCGGCCTTATTATTATTTTGAAGGATTTAACATGTGGCTGTGGTTGTCTTAAGCTCTAAGGTCAGTAGAGGTTAACCTGAAATTTGGGTCTTGATCAGAGCTACCAAAAATGAGTTAGAGGACTTGCTGGATTTAAATAGGAGACCTTAAATTGTTTGCCCTCGGATAAGGTGTTGTTTGTTTCTGTCTGCGCCAATAAGTGTCATGCACTTCCTCAGACACTACGGGACCGAGTTTGGTATGACAAGCTATATACTGAATCGGTTACCCTCAGGTACCGAAATGTTTCAGATACTACAGAAAACCATTTCAGAGTAATCTCCATAAATAATCTGTACATCTGTCGCTTTATGAGCTTCCTATGTCTATGTCCTGGATGACGTAATGCACAGGTGCGCAGACACTTATGTTCGTGTATCACCACAACACAGTGTAAAGTGCATCAGTTTAGTTTACAGAAAATTAGTAGAGCAAAAGGTGTAGAGTGAAGTAAGAGCAAAGTGACGCTGGTTCTTCTCTTCCTCTGGAAGAATATGAGGAGATGCTTTGAACTGAATGCCTAAACTGAAGTCAGGCGATGATAAACGGAAGGCGGTAAAGTGCAAGAATTTTCCGGGGTGGCAAACTGGACAAATATAAGCCATTATTTCAACGCGCTCCGTAATAGAGAAAAGGAAGTCAGCTAAACTCGAGGGAGATAAAAGCTAGGCTGTAACAAGCAGTATACTTATCACGTGAGGAAAACAAGCTCCATAGGATTCAGGCACCGAAAACTGATTTGATTTTCAGTTTTCGCTAGAGATTTGAAAATGTGTGTGTGTTCTAAACAGTACGTTTTTTCAACTTTGGTCCGAGATTTTTTATGCATGACAAAGTGTTTGGAACTTGAGACTCTACGCAATCATTGGTTAATCTTCGTCATATTCTGCAGCACACAAGCCGCCTTTGCATTTTACTGCAAGGATGTTCAGTGAGGTTTCCTTTGCCTGTTGCTCAAAATCTGCAAGCAGCTTACAAACGTAATGTAGTCTCTAGATCCATCGTGTGCTGAAAATTGTGCGGAAGAAAAATCAGTACGTAATAAACTGCCAGGAACTGCAAGTAATCGCCAGTTTAAGAATTTCAATATGCGTCTGGAATCGATTTGGATCAGGCTTAACTGATGCGGACTAAACAGGATGAGACCGGTCGTGGATTAGCCGCAGATATCGTCCCATACTACTCGTATAAGTCCAAGAAGTTGGTGGATAACCTGTAACTTGTGTTTATAGACACTTAGGTGATAGAAGTAATTAGATCTAAGGTTAATGTCAACGTATGGAAGAGTGAAAAATCCCGGAAATCTGAAACTGACACCGAAAAATTGCTATGTGCGCTAAAAAACTAGGTCGAAATGCTCACAGCTCTACAAAAGCACATCACTAGTCAAAAGTACACCCGAGCTGTTAATCCAAAGGCGATTTGGTACTTCTACAGGAGTAACCGAAACTAAATACAGCGATATTTGCGGTTGTTTGCCATCAAGCTATCGATTCTTTCCATGACAGCAAAACCCCCTAAAAGGTGACGACCCTCTGGATAGTTCACACGAGTTGTGCCTGCATGGAGCCGAGCAAGGCTGGTAGATCTTCAAAGTTCATCGTGACTGTTTTGACGAAGGACATCGCACTAAATTCGACTCCTTTTCCTCAGATGTGATTCATTAGCAAGTTCTGGTTTGAAATCCCTGGCTTAAATGTTGCAACCTAAGCAGAAACACATCGCCCAAAACGCACCCGCATCTCAACTAATCTGACCGGTGATTACAAACTCCTTCACATTCAGTCGGAGGAAAGATGATTTATGGTACCTTGGAGTAGTTTTTTCGTGAAAAAAGATTTGGAATGTAGTTGTTGAAGAAATCAGAAGGCGTAAAATAAACATAAGTGGTGAAATTTTTGACAAGCTTGTGCAAAGGTGTGTTGGAGCAGTTTGTGTGGCAAGTAGATGTATCCGCCTTGGACCAGTTTAGAATAATTAAAAAAGGAACCTCTCCGTAGAAAAGAAGAATCCACTGAATAAGTAAATTGAACGATATTTCTGTAATTTTACATGGGCTTTGATCCTT